ACTAGAAGGTGCATCCCCTCTTTGTGTTCTCCAGAATTATAATCTTCTTTAATTCTTCGTGTCCGTTTCTTCTTTCTCTTTCCAAATTTATTTCACTAGATTATACTTCTTGAATAGCATCTTCAAGCCGTAATCTTTCACATAATGCTTATACTCTTATTGCCTATACCACTATGGGATTGGAATAGACAACTGTATCTGTGTGTCAATGTGGTAAGGCAACTCGAACTGATGACCCTATGTACGAAGTTCTACGTTGTGACTGACTGTATTCTACTAACTAAATTTTTCCTCCTGTACTAAATCCCTATATGCAGTCTTTCTTTTATATATTACCACTATTGAATTAACTGCTATGGATTCGGTGTTCATCTTATTGTGCTAATGAAGTGTGAAAACTTCAACGGATGCATATATGTTCCTGGTCCTACATTTTAGCTGACTGACTGACTAACCGTATCTCAAGTAGGTGCAGGTAGTCAACAACAATTTATCATGCCCATTTCATATTACGTACTGACATATTGGAAACTTTGTGTATTTGATCATGCTTACTAAAAGACCCAAAGATTCTGGTTTGAATCCCGTCCAAGTTTGCGGATGAACATAATAATTATGATTAAGCACAAATGAATGTCCAGCTAAAGTTTCTAAGCTGTGACTATTTTTCCTACTGCTCTAAATTTATGATGAAAATTGTTTTGGATTAGACTCTAACTCTGCGGCTAGAAAATATCTAATGTTATATCAGTCGATATCAGTTTATATCAGTCGATTATAAAAATGCATAAGTTCACACATTCAAGCATCCGACAAACAGCTTTCCTGACATGTTGTCAAATAACACAGTTGATTATCCAGCTAGAAAACTCGAGGAAGTGAGTTGAGAGAGAATGTCGGAGGTGCAGGATCATTTTTAAAAAGATTATCGTCTTTCAACAAGGTGATGGAACTTCAATGTAGCATAACAAATGGCAGAGAGTTGCTAGTCAAAATTGAAATAATTTAGTTCAGTATGCCACAACCGCACCTGGAGGCTTGTTAAGAATTCCCAGATACTCCTGTGCCAATTGCGTCTAGGGTAATCCCAATAGAAGCTTCGGTTCTGCATCCTAAGTTACTAAAGGAATTAGCTAACTTTGTTGCGAACCCTTTAAGTGTATGCTTTAATCTATCCGTAACCCAGGGTCGTCTACCAAAAGACTGGAAGAACGCCATAGTAAGTCCAGTCCTCAAAACAGGTACAAAACATAAGCCTGAGAATTACCGACCCATTAGCCTAACTAGTGTGGTTGTTAAAATCTTAGAAAAGATTATTCGGAAGGAACTGTTAAAGTATCTCGATGAAAACCGGATCCTCTCCGAAAAGCAGCATGGTTTTAGAACAGGTTACTCTTGTCTCACAAACTTATTAGTCGCTCGTGAAAGCTGGTACGCTCTTAAGGACCACAAATTACCTATAGACGTAGCTCACATCGATTTCAGCGAAGCTTTCGACAAAGTTCCGCTTAACCGGCTTTTATATAAGCTAAGGAATGTCGGGATTGGAGGCAATCTATTGATGTGGATAAAAGACTTCTTAGTTGGGCGTCAACAAGGAGTAAGGGTGAACTCCAAGTTGTCTAGCTGGAAAACTGTGCTTAGTGGAGTCCCCCAGGGTACAGTTTTGGGGCCAGTGTTATTCCTCCTGTACGTAAATGATCTCCCTCGTCTACTATCGTCATCGGTCTTACTCTATGCTGATGATGTCAAGATGTGGAGAGTGATACGAAGCAAGGGCGATAACTTAGAACTTCAAAATGACCTGGAGAGATTATCTGAATGGTCCCAAACCTGGCAATTGCCGATAAACACTTCCAAGTGTATTGTGATGCATATTGGCCATCAGGGTACAGATACATACACGATGAATAACACTGAGTTACCTATTGTTCAGGCAAACAATGACTTAGGTGTCATCGTTAGTCAAGACTTAAAGACTACTGCACACTGCCGTGCAATAGCCGCCAAAGGTTTTAGGACTTTATGGTCCATACGCAGGGCTTTTAGGCATCTTGACGCTAAAACGTTTCTGACTTTGTATACAGTGTTCGTACGCCCTAAACTTGAGTACTGCATACAAGCAGCTAGCCCTTGCCTAAAAAAAGACAGTGAACTCTTGGAAAGGGTTCAGAGAACAGCAACTAGGCTGATTCGCGGAATAGCGAAGCTCCCGTATGGTACTAGACTGACCAAGCTAAACCTATTCCCGCTGTCATATAGAAGAATCAGAGGCGAATTGATTACAGTTTTCAAATTGCTTAATGACAAATTTGCACCTGATATGCCCTCATTTTTCTTGTCTTCCAAAACAGAAAATCTACGAGGATACTCCAAAAGAGTTCACATGCCCCGAACGAATCACTTGTCAGCTGAGAGACCATGATTGCCAGGACTAACACAAGCCATCAAGCCCACTGTCCTTTCCAAACTGAAACTGAAACTGATTAGGTCTAGAAACGGGTTAGTGACGATAGGAGGAATTTATCGTGTTCCGTGTTGTCTCGCTGACGACTTTATCCCAAAACACGTCTGTTCTTGGAGTAAAGTAGAATGTTGTCTCATCGTTGGAGATTTCAATGCACCCCATATAAACTGGATAGAGCTCACAGCTCCAGGTGGAGGTTCGATAGCGTACTTCTGTCATCAATTATTCAATGTGCACTTGTACAATGTATCGTAAAACCGACAGTTTGACTTGGAACATGATCCGCCATTGCTAAACCTTGTCTTCACACACCACTGTGAAGATGTCGTCGACATTTAGCACCTTCCCCCACTATTGAGTAGTGACCACGTTGTACTTTCCTTTAAGTTCCGAATACATGGTATAGAATTTGCATCTGCTCCACCCCGTCCTAATATCTGGAGAGCTAATATTCCGGCAATCAGGGACTATGCTATCTCGATTGACTGGTCGGTCGATGCTATTGGATCGATCGACGATGCATGGAATAGGTTTAAGTCTACGTTCGAATCCGTAACTCAACCGTTTATCCCATGGTCAGCACGTAAGCTATCACATTGCCCTCCATGGATTAATAAGGAAACCCGGAAGCTGTTGAAGCGTAGGAAACACTTCTGGGACTTATTCTTGTCAACAGGTCAAGCATCATTTAAGTGCGAATATAAAAAAACCCGGAATATATGTAAAAAGACCATAGCTATATCCTGTACCGCTTACGAACGACAGTTGGCATACGATAGCCGTACCTGTCCGAAGCGACTGTTTTTGTACGTTAAAAGGCGGACGAAACGTAGTGATGGTATCCCCTCATTACTGTTAAGCGAAAATTCAGCTTTATTGGCTGAATCTGACTTAGCGAAAGCGGAGTTATTTGCTAACTATTTCAGTGAAGTCTAGTCTACGTGTAGTGTTACAACTACTTGTCCCATTGACAACGAGATACCAGCCATAGGACCTATACACGTGACTGAGGATATAGTTCTTCCTTTGATAACTAACCTAAAACCTTGTAAGATACCAGGCCCTGATGGGTTACATCCACGTTTGCTGTCATCGCTTGCGGACATTATCTCAAGACCGCTCGCGACGCTCTTCAACATGTCCCTTTCACGCGCTCAACTACTTAGAAACTGGAAAGATGCCATAGTTAGTCCTATATTTAAGGATGGTCAGAGACGGATAGTATCTAACTACCGACCTGTTAGCCTGACCAGTATAGTAGTTAAGTTACTTGAAAAATTAATTCGGGCTAAGCTACTGAGCCACATTGATTCGTACAATCTGTTAACTCCCGAGCAACATGGGTTTCATAACAAGCATTCATGCTTGACTAACTCACTCATTGCGAGAGAGGATTGGACAGCTGCACTAGACAACGGCCTGTCTGTCGACGTGATATTTATAGATTTTAGCAAAGCGTTTGATAAGGTTTCACACTTAGGTCTTATGCAAAAGCTCTCGAGCTTTGGTATAACAGGTGCTATACAGGAATGGATAGGAAGCTTCTTATGTGACCGCAGACAGAGAGTGAGAGTCAATGGAACTCTATCCGAATGGAAACCGGTCAAAAGTGGTGTACCCCAAGGCACCATCTTGGGCCCTTTACTTTTCCTTCTGTATATTAATGAACTACCTTTATTACTTAAGTCGTGGACGTTATTGTTTGCGGATGATGTTAAAATCTGGAGAACAATAAAAAATGAGATTGATCGTTGTTATCTACAAGCAGATTTAGACGAATTAGTTAGGTGGGCTCATGATTGGGGCCTGGAAGTTAATTTCAGGAAGAGCGTGTTCATGCACATCGGGCACGATATTAGTTACCACTATACCATTAATGGTACATCTCTGCCACGCGTTCATACGCATAAAGACTTAGGAGTAATTATAAGTCACGACTTAAAAACTACTACGCACTGCAGTGCGGTTGCTTCCAAAGTCTATCGCGCGCTATGGTCGCTTCGCAGAGCATTTAAATGCTTTGACGAGGATATGTTTCGAATTTTATATCCCACCTATGTAGGGCCACACTTAGAATACTGTATCCAAGCAGCTAGCCCTTGTCTGATAAAGGATACTAAATCGCTTGAGCGTGTTCAGCGTGTAGGGACAAAATTAGTAAAGGGTCTTTCCAAACTCCTTTACGATGAGCGTTTAAAACGTCTAAATCTTTTCCCCTTATCTTATCGTAGGACGCGAGGTGACCTTATACTGGCATTTCGTATCTTTAATTATGATCTGGGTGTTAATATGTCCTACCTTTTTGCTCCCTCCAGCACTAATAATCTCCGGGGTCATAGCAAGAAGGTTCTGAAACCGCGATCTAATAAACTAAAGGTGGGGTCCCGTTTTTCTCATCGAGTGGTCAATGACTGGAACGGTTTACCAGAACAAGTGGTATCAGCACCATCAGTGAACATTTTCAAAAAGAAGCTGGACCTTCACTGGAAGGAAATCTGTCAGGATTAACACAGGTTCATCAAAATACTATCCTTATTACTGAAGACTGAAGACTGATGTTAGTTAACTTTTGCTACTCAAATTCAAAGCAACTTTTCTACAAGACCTGCGTAAGAAAGAATTAACTGGAACTGACCAGATGTAGATCTAAAAGGGCAAAACATTCACTTGTTCTGCCTGGCAAAGTGCAATTGGAGTTTGTTTTAATGAGTAAAGAGATAAAATACTTGCTCTAACCTTTAAGGGAGCTTAATTGAAAATGTTTTGTCCAGAGGTATGTTCGCTTGAGCATTTATTGGCATTGATATTATTTCCTAAAGAGTTGTATTAAAACAGTGTATTTTGTGATTCATTGTCTGTAAGTGCATCTGGAAGCAAAGGTATCGCTGCAGGAATTGAATAGTGAATAACTTGAAGCAATTGGTCTGTACAGAATCAAAAATAACCTGTGGGCTTGACATATTACCAACTACTGCGAAGCTCCATGTAGAAAAATGTGAATTATGACAAAAATCAATTAAGAAATCAGTCGATGATGGCTATCCCCACGAGACGACTCACGACCCGCGCGCATTTCATAAAGGGCAGTGATTTTCATACTTGTTGTGATTATCGTTGCCTTTGTGTATTTGTTGCATCAAAAAGCATTCTTGGTCTACTTTAACTTAAGTTATTTCAGTTAAAGTTTGAAATTTTGTTAAAAACTTTGTCTCGTGGTACCTTCTTTTGCATATACTCCGACACTTGTGTTATTATTGTGATCATATTGTGTTTAACCCTAATCTGATTACAATGGTTGGTAGTTCATTCAAATGTGGACAGGCAAACTGTTTATTCCCCGTAGGTGAAGGGATGCAGTGCGATGAATGCAAAAAATGGTTCCAAAAGATGTGTACCCGTCTCAGTCCAACTGCATACAAAAGATGTTCTAAGCCTAACTCGCACTGGCTTTGTATGTTCTGCTGTACTAACAAGACGATATTAATCCAAGAGGCTATGAGCCTTTTGGCTCTAGCCTGTAAAAAGAAAGATAGTGGGTGTGCTAGTAACGCAAGTACTGACAGTGAAGACTGTCAGTGTTGTAGTTGTTACAAAACGAGCTTAACAACCTACTGTGAAAAATGACAAAGTGAAACTTCCGTTACAACAAACGAGGAGTAAATCACCACATGGTATTGACATGAGTAATCATGCATCTTTAGTAAAAATTGAGGACCCGGATAAAACCGTCCTGAATGACCAAAAATGGACCGCAGTAAAGAGGAAAAGAAAAGGAAAAAAAGCTAATGATAAAGCACACTTGATTGGCAAGCCATTGAGGAACTCACAGTCTGAGTCACTCAATGCACTATCGCACTCTGATAAAACGGCAGATCATCACCCTAGTGCGACTGAGAGGAATTTAATATCATCGAATATTATTGTGAGTAAATTGCCAGTCTAACGATCTAGATCCTAAGGTCAGACACACCCATGACTTAGAGAGGCTCGGAGAATATATCCGTAGCATATTACCAGATAACACTAAAGGTGTTCAGGTCAAAAAATTAGTTAGTATAGGTAAAAGGGCCGGTGATAGTGTTCTACCCCGACCATGTAGACTCCTTAAGGTAATCCTGAGGTCGTAGGAACAATGTGATCTTCTGTTAAGTAGCGCTCAAAGTCACGACAACTCTGACATTCGATTTACAGCGGATGTGTCTCTTGAAAATAGAATAAAAAGGAAGACGGCACTTGCTGAACTAGAAATCTGTCGACAAGACGGGGAGAAAAAATCTCCAATTAGTCAGTTTTTGAATAGTCAGGTCTTGGAAGCGATTGCTACCAAGGTGCGTGTGAATATGTCGTTCTCCCTGTGTGTTACACAAATGCCCGTAGTCTTCGAAATAAGATGTCTCAGCTAAGTTTGATGGTGAACGAATTAAATCCCGATAAAATTGTTATCACTGAAACTTGGCTCACTGTAGATATAGACTGTTCTTTCGTCATTTCAAGCTCAACTGTGTCAGAAGTGATAGAGTTAGAAGTCGCAAGGGAGGAGGCATAATATTATATGTTAGGGACCACTTCCGCATACACTCGATCATATCGGAGGCGCATGTAAGTGGTACGTATGAGGTAGTATGTTGTACAATTAGGTCTAGAAACGGGTAAGTGACTACAGGAGGAATATATCGTAATCCTTGTTGTATCGCTGACGACTTTATCCTAAGGCACGTCTGTTCTTGGAGTAAGGCAGAATGTTGTCTCATCGTTGGAGACTTCGACGCACCCCATATCAACTGGATAGAGCTTGTAGTTGCGTGCTTCGATAATAGTTCACTTCGATAACCGTTATTATACCAATCTTAACGGTCTTCAGTAATAAGGATAGGAGGTCTAGTGACCTATTTTAATCCTTGCAGTTTGTTACACTGTGGAGGTCCAATCTCGTCTTGAATATATCAACAGAAGGTGCTGATATTACGTGTTATGGTAGAGAATTCCAGTCATTCACTACTCGGTGCGAGAAACGAAACTCCAGACGTAGGCGATATGATCTCGGTTTTTGGACTTTCTTTGAATGTCCTCAAATGATCAGCCCTAGACGGGAGGAAAAGATAGGACATGTTAGTACCAAGGTCATCGTTCAGGATACGATATGCCAATATTAGATCACCCCGTATTCGCCGGTAAGATAACGGAAATAAGTTGAGGTGTCTCAGTTTGTCTTCATAAGATAGGCTAGATAAGCCTTTTACCATTTTTGTCCCGCGGCGTTGGACTCGTTCCAACATATCGGCCTCATATTTGAAACAAGGACTCGCTACTTGTATCCCATATTCCAAATGTGGCCGTACGAAAGTTGGGTATAATAATCTAAACATTTCCCCATCCAGATCTACGAATAGACCATAATGCCCTATAGCCTTTTGCAGCAGCAGCCTTACAGTGACTGGTTGTTTTGAGATCATTACTTAGTATGACTCCTAAATCTTTATAGTTTCTTACTTTGGGCAACACTAGTCCACATATTGTGTAGTGATACGAATCATCGTAGTTATTTAATTGCATCACAACACTTTTATTAGGGTTTACTTCTAGTGACCACCCATTCATCCATGCAACTAATGAGTTAAGATCTTCCTGTAAAACTATTCTGTCTGACATACTATATATGGGTCTCCAAATCTTAATGTCATCGGCGAATAGTAGGACGGATGACTTAGCTATAGCTGGTAATTCATTTATATAAAGTAAAAAGAGAAGAGGACCTAAAATCGTGCCTTGGGGGACTCCACTTTTTACTGGTTCCCACGATGAGAGAGCCCCATTTACTCTTACCCTTTGTCTCCTTTCATGAAAAAGTCACTTATCCAGTCTATGACTGCATAATGAATTCCAAAACTTTCTAGTTTCAATTTAAGACCAGAATGGGAAACCTTATCAAAGGCTTTACTTAGACCTATGAAAATGACATCTACAGGAATATTTCGATCTTTTGCCTCAGCCCAATCTTCTCTTGCAATGAGAAGATTTGTCAAACATGATAGACCTTTTCGAAAGCCATGTTGTTCCTTTGACAGAAGATCATGTCTTTCCACGTAGTTTATAACAGCCATCCTAATGATTTTTTCCATTAGTTTTACAACTGCACTAGTTAAGCTGACGGGTCGATAGTTACTAACTAAATCCCTACCCCCAGTCTTATACACCGGACTGATTATTGCGTCCTTCCAGTCACTGGGCAATCTGGACTGCCGTAAGGACATATCGAACAGTATCGCTAAGGGTTCAGCAATAACATCTGAGAGGGCTTTCATAATCTGAGGATGAATATCATCAGGACCACTAGACTTATCAGGTTTGAGATGCTGAAGTAGGCTTAAAACAGTTTCTGTCTTAATAACTACAGGGTCCATCAACAAGTCGCCACAATCACAATGAATAGGTGATCGTTCCTCATTATTGGTAGAAAAAACTTTACTGAAATATTCCGAGAAAGCTTCCGCTTTTTCGGTATCATTTCTTGCCAAACTTAACGGATTTTCTTGTATCAAAAGTGATGGTATTCCATCACTTCTCTGAGTTCGCCTCTTTATATACGAGAATAACCGTTTTGGACTATGTTTGCAATCCCTAACCAATTGTTTTTCGTATGACCGTCTAGTCCTACTAATTAACGCTTTACAGTTATTTCTAATCTTACAATAACTAGATCTGTACTGTTCTAAGCCAGTAGAGATGAACATGTTCCAGTGTTTTTTTCTACGTCTAAGGAGTTTCTTAACTTCTTTATTTATCCACGGTGGACTATTGTTCGGTCTACGTGGCACCAAGTATGGTATGAACGGGGACGTGACTGCACTAAACTTGCCTTTAAATACAGACCACGCCTCGTCAACTGATGAGCTAGTATCTACTGACCAATCTATCTTAGTAGCATTTCTGGTATGTTAGCTCTCCATATGTTTGGGCGAGGCTTAATCTGATCGTATATCATATCGCTAGCTCTAAACGTGAATGATAAAACAGCGTTATCGCTATTTACTAACGGGGGAAGAATATTTAGGTTGGCAATATCCTCAGTCTCATGGGTAATTACCAAGTCCAACAGAGAAGAACCTTGGTTTACACCAAAACGTGTAGGTTTGGATACATGTTGTACTAATGCATGTTTCATTACTGTTTCCAAGAGCCTGCTATCAATTGAGTTTATAGAGCATTTCGTGGTCATCTCAGTTCAACTAATGTCAGGTGCATTAAAGTCTCCTAATATCAAGCATCTGTTATTTGCACTCCATAGCCGAATGTGCTCTAAAATAAAGTCATCAGCTAAGCAGATTGGGCTGCGATAGATGACACCGAGTGCAAATGTACAACATCCGACAGTGAGTTCACAGCTAATGACTTCACTAGTTCCACTATCACGGGATTCGCAAACGGAGGAGCGGATATTTATACTATTGGCTATGTATAGAAGGACGCCACCTCCTTTCCTGCATTTATGTCTATCACTTCTTAAACAATGATATCCGGATAATTCTGGGGTGATATCGAAGTCATGGACTAACCAAGTTTCCGTCACAGCTACAGTGAGTGGCTTTAATTTGTCCACTAATGTTCCTAGCTCGTAGAATTTGTTTTAGACTACGGGCGTTGGCATATAAAACTCCTAGGGGGAACGACCTATCCACACAGGCCTTGGTAGCAATCGCTTCCAAGACCTGACTATTCGAAAACTGACTAATTGGAGATTTTTTCTCCCCGTCTTGTCGACAGATTTCTAGTTCAGCAAGTGCCGTCTTCCTTTTTATTCTATTTTCAAGAGACACATCCGCTGTAAATCGAATGTCAGAGTTGTCGTGACTTTGAGCGCTACTTAACAGAAGATCACATTGTTCCTACGACCTCAGGATTACCTTAAGGAGTCTACATGGTCGGGGTAGAACACTATCACCGGCCCTTTTACCTATACTAACTAATTTTTTGACCTGAACACCTTTAGTGTTATCTGGTAATATGCTACGGATATATTCTCCGAGCCTCTCTAAGTCATGGGTGTGTCTGACCTTAGGATCTAGATCGTTAGACTGGCAATTTACTCACAATAATATTCGATGATATTAAATTCCTCTCAGTCGCACTAGGGTGATGATCTGCCGTTTTATCAGAGTGCGATAGTGCATTGAGTGACTCAGACTGTGAGTTCCTCAATGGCTTGCCAATCAAGTGTGCTTTATCATTAGCTTTTTTTCCTTTTCTTTTCCTCTTTACTGCGGTCCATTTTTGGTCATTCAGGACGGTTTTATCCGGGTCCTCAATTTTTACTAAAGATGCATGATTACTCATGTCAATACCATGTGGTGATTTACTCCTCGTTTGTTGTAACGGAAGTTTCACTTTGTCATTTTTCACAGTAGGTTGTTAAGCTCGTTTTGTAACAACTACAACACTGACAGTCTTCACTGTCAGTACTTGCGTTACTAGCACACCCACTATCTTTCTTTTTACAGGCTAGAGCCAAAAGGCTCATAGCCTCTTGGATTAATATCGTCTTGTTAGTACAGCAGAACATACAAAGCCAGTGCGAGTTAGGCTTAGAACATCTTTTGTATGCAGTTGGACTGAGACGGGTACACATCTTTTGGAACCATTTTTTGCATTCATCGCACTGCATCCCTTCACCTACGGGGAATAAACAGTTTGCCTGTCCACATTTGAATGAACTACCAACCATTGTAATCAGATTAGGGTTAAACACAATATGATCACAATAATAACACAAGTGTCGGAGTATATGCAAAAGAAGGTACCACGAGACAAAGTTTTTAACAAAATTTCAAACTTTAACTGAAATAACTTAAGTTAAAGTAGACCAAGAATGCTTTTTGATGCAACAAATACACAAAGGCAACGATAATCACAACAAGTATGAAAATCACTGCCCTTTTTGAAACGCACGCAATTCAACGGTGTATTAAATCAGAAGCAAAAGGAAGCGGCAACTACATTTTTATTGATGAATGGTGCCGACCAGAAAGCTGTGGGCACATGAGCAAGTGTAAGCAAGCGAATCAAAGATGATGCATAGTGGAGATGGCTGAGAAGCCAACTCGCTATGAGCAAGCATTACTCAATATTTAAAATCAGACAAAAATGAATGACAGACATATGATGAATAGGATAAGAAGGGTACACATATACGCTCATATAAAAAGTAGTCAAAGTTAATAAGTGATTAATTAACAAGATCAAAATATGACCCATAATGTATAGGTGAATTAGCTTGGCCAGAAGCTAGAATAAAGTATATGGGCTTAACATAACAACTGATACTACAAGCTCACAGCTCCAGGTGGGAGTTTCGATAGTGTCCTTCTATCATTAATTATTCAATGTGCACTTGTACAATGTATCGTAAAACCGACAGTTTGACTTGGAACATGATCCGCCATTGCTAAACCTTGTCTTCACACACCACTGTGAAGATGTCGTCGACATTTAGCACCTTCCCCCACTATTGAGTAGTGACCACGTTGTACTTTCCTTTAAGTTCCGAATACATGGTATAGAATTTGCATCTGCTCCACCCCGTCCTAATATCTGGAGAGCTAATATTCCGGCAATCAGGGACTATGCTATCTCGATTGACTGGTCGGTCGATGCTGATGGATCGATTGGTGATGCATGGAATAGGTTTAAGTCTACGTTCGAATCCGTAACTCAACCGTTTATCCCATGGTCAGCACGTAAGCTATCATATTGCCCTCCATGGATTAATAAGGAAACCCGGAAGCTGTTGAAGCGTAGGAAACACTTCTGGGACTTATTCTTGTCAACAGGTCAAGCATCATTTAAGTGCGAATATAAAAAAACCCGGAATATATGTAAAAAGACCATAGCTATATCCTGTACCGCTTACGAACGACAGTTGGCATACGATAGCCGTACCTGTCCGAAGCGACTGTTTTTGTACGTTAAAAGGCGGACGAAACGTAGTGATGGTATCCCCTCATTACTGTTAAGCGAAAATTTAGCTTTATTGGCTGAATCTGACTTAGCGAAAGCGGAGTTATTTGCTAACTATTTCAGTGAAGTCTAGTCTACGTGTAGTGTTACAACTACTTGTCCCATTGACAACGAGATACCAGCCATAGGACCTATACACGTGACTGAGGATATTGTTCTTCCATTGATAACTATCCTCAAACCTTGCAAGATACCAGGCCCCGATGGGTTACATCCACGTTTGCTGTCATCGCTTGCGGACATTATCTCAAGACCGCTCGCGACGCTCTTCAACATGTCCCTTTCACGCGCTCAACTACTTAGAAACTGGAAAGATGCCATAGTTAGTCCTATATTTAAGGATGGTCAGAGACGGATAGTATCTAACTACCGACCTGTTAGCCTGACCAGTATAGTAGTTAAGTTACTTGAAAAATTAATTCGGGCTAAGCTACTGAGCCACATTGATTCGTACAATCTGTTAACTCCCGAGCAACATGGGTTTCGTAACAAGCGTTCATTCTTAACTAACTTACTCATTGCGAGAGAGGATTGGACAGCTGCCCTAGATAACGGCCTGTCTGTAGACGTTATATTCATAGATTTTAGCAAAGCGTTTGACAAGGTTTCACACTTGGATCTTATGCAGAAGCTCTCGAGCATTGGAATAACAGGTGCTATACAGGAATGGATAGGAAGCTTCTTATGTGACCGCAGACAGAGTGAGGGTCAATGGAACGCTATCCGAATGGAAGCCGGTCAAAAGTGGTGTACCCCAAGGCACCATCTTAGGCCCTTTACTTTTCGTTCTGTATGTTAATGAATTACCTCTTACTTAAGTCGTGGACGTTATTGTTTGCGGATGATGTTAAGATCCAATGCTCGAGAGCTTTTGCATAAGATCCAAGTGTGAAACCTTGTCAAACGCTTAGCCCGAATTATTTTTTCAAGTAACTTAACTAATATGTTGGTAAGGCTGATAGGCCGGTAGTTAGATGCGATCCGTCTCTGACCATCCTTAAATATAGGACTAACTATGGCATCTTTCCAGTTTCTAAGTAGTTGAGCGCGTGAAAGGGACATGTTGAAGAGCGTCGCGAGCGGTCTTGAGATAATGTCCGCAAGCGATGACAGCAAACGTGGATGTAACCCATCGGGGCCTGGTATCTTGCAAGGTTTGAGGATAGTTATCAATGGAAGAACAATATCCTCAGTCACGTGTATAGGTCCTATGGCTGGTATCTCGTTGTCAATGGGACAAGTAGTTGTAACACTACACGTAGACTAGACTTCACTGAAATAGTTAGCAAATAACTCCGCTTTCGCTAAGTCAGATTCAGCCAATAAAGCTGAATTTTCGCTTAACAGTAATGAGGGGATACCATCACTACGTTTCGTCCGCCTTTTAACGTACAAAAACAGTCGCTTCGGACAGGTACGGCTATCGTATGCCAACTGTCGTTCGTAAGCGGTACAGGATATAGCTATGGTCTTTTTACATATATTCCGGGTTTTTTTATATTCGCACTTAAATGATGCTTGACCTGTTGACAAGAATAAGTCCCAGAAGTGTTTCCTACGCTTCAACAGCTTCCGGGTTTCCTTATTAATCCATGGAGGGCAATGTGATAGCTTACGTGCTGACCATGGGATAAACGGTTGAGTTACGGATTCGAACGTAGACTTAAACCTATTCCATGCATCGTCGATCGATCCAATAGCATCGACCGACCAGTCAATCGAGATAGCATAGTCCCTGATTGCCGGAATATTAGCTCTCCAGATATTAGGACGGGGTGGAGCAGATGCAAATTCTATACCATGTATTCGGAACTTAAAGGAAAGTACAACGTGGTCACTACTCAATAGTGGGGGAAGGTGCTAAATGTCGACGACATCTTCACAGTGGTGTGTGAAGACAAGGTTTAGCAATGGCGGATCATGTTCCAAGTCAAACTGTCGGTTTTACGATACATTGTACAAGTGCACATTGAATAATTAATGATAGAAGGACACTATCGAAACTCCCACCTGGAGCTGTGAGCTCTATGCAGTTGATTTGGGTGCGTCGTAGCCTCCAACGATGACCGATTCTGAACCATCCCGCTCAACCTCTCCTAACTCCAGTCATATGAATATTCATTAAGGTCGTATAGCATATACGACTAAGTTTAAATCTAACGTTTTGTTTTAGGAATGTAAGTACATTTGCTCCTACAGCAAGTAGTTCTGTAGTGTATTCGACGTAGCTATTTTTTTAGCAAGTTGATGCAATAATCATCGATGAGGTCAAAAATAATCCTATAATGAATCACCTAAATGATAAACTTACAGTTATATAGCTCATGGATAATTATAATTGATATCAAACTTTTAACTATGAGACTTCATTTGAAGACTTGCATTGTAATTATATCGTCTAGTTTTGGTTTTGCTATGAATGCATTGGTAGTTTGTAGCTAGTATTTTTCAGCTCCAAATTATTCTAGAATCTTAATAATGAAATTCTCCAATTTAGAGGGGATTTAAAGTCGGCTACTAATTGTATATCAACGCATGGCGCGAACTTGCTTGAATAATTCTCAGTCCACGTGTATCTGGTTTCCAAAAACTAATATATCAATTAGTAACAGTCTAGGTGGCTGGTGACAAATCTTTACCACAACAAGCTTCTCGTTAAAGACTTATGGTGCTATTTATAGTACCCGCGTACAAGTTATGAAGTATTGGATTGGATTTCATCTGTCGCTTTTCCGATCTCGGGGACCTAACAGTATCAAGGTGTTCGCAGAAAAGATGTCCGGAAGTCCATTTGTTCACGAATATGTACGTGAATAACCGAATTAGTTTTTTTGCATGCATTTTGCTGGGAATAAAGCTGTTTACGAGGCATTCATTTGTTCATATTATTGTAAACTAGCTTACATGGCTCAAAAAAACAAATGCTTATCACTGGAGCCATTGTTCAGCATTTTTAGAATTCAACTTTGAACCGGTGAGTTATGATTTCCAACCCCGTTCCACCTACTTAGGCTTGGGCTATTAGGTGTCGGTAATTGGTTGGCAAAATGTGTTTTCTGTTTTCAACTTGAAAAACCATTAGTCTGCTATCAGAGACTAAATTTTATGACTCAAGATCGGTTTCAGTCGCCAAATTCATCTCAATTTAAATCTTAAACATGATATTCCAATTTCCTTCACTCTCTTTCTTCCATCTTGGTTTACTTTCGCTTCTGTAGTTGTTGTTTTCGCCTTTCTCCGGTCCTCATTCTATATCTTGATATGCATTAAGGAAACGTAAGTTGGTAGCTCATCTCCATCCTAATAAACAGAATTTTAAACGACTAGAGCGTTCTTAACACAGACGATGTTTTCTAAATTACTCCTGAAGTTCCAAGGTGCTCAAAGAAAGGAACACCTACTGTACACACCTGTAATTGTGGAAAACTTAATTGGCTGTGATGTTTATGCGAATTAATATTTTTGGTCAGTAATGTTAATTATTGATGTCAGCTTTTCTATGTAGTATACTTGAGGCTTCAAAAAATATATCATGATAAGCACAATTTTTCCAGTAGTAATTATCATTGATTTGTGTGTGGGATGTGATACTGCCCAGACCGAAGTAGGTTGTTTTCTTAGGGGACCACACCCGGAGCCTTTGACCTAAAGATGTGATCCACAAGGCAATGGAGCAACGTTAGGCGATGCGATCCCATGGTAACTGGTAACCAACAATTGTTCCCTATTTCATTTGCTCCTTCAAGATCCTGGAGGCAGTGTGCACCATTGGTTTTGAATAAGGGTTCTCCATCTCCCATAGGTGGACCCTCCGTGTCCAACAACCCTGTTAATGTGCCGAACATTCGCTTTTCGCCCTCCTAATCCCTCTAACAACATCCCCGCCACGAGAAGGCAGCGAGTAGGACTTTTCTGACAGTGGCTGTATACTCGTGGCCATGTGGGAGCATTTCGAGAAGGAGAACCGACTCTTCTCAATCTTGGCTGTATCAGGGCATTTGGTGGCCGGGAGACTGAATGATTAGAGCTTAAATTGTTAATTCACGCGTTAGTACTCTTGGGAATATCTCGCCATTATGTACGATCTGTTTCTGTAATACTATTTGTTTACATGATAAAAAAATGTTGATGGGATAAATTTTAGACTGAATTTTATGGAATTCTTAGCAAATGTAGGAGCATTGGATGCTTGTTTTCATTCAGCTGTTTTATTTACTACACAGTCCTTGATACGGTAGAGCATCAACAAATGAGTTATACAAAATAAAATGGCAATTGGAAATGAAACTGAGGAAATAATATTTTAGTAACTAGCCTAAGGATCATTAAAGGCTAAAATTTAAGGAAAATAATTGATTGAAGTCAGACATTAAGTCCGTTGGATTCTGGCTCAGTAATCTAGAGTCTAAGTGTTCGCACGCGAGACCAATAGGTTCTGGGTTCAGGTCCCGCATGCGGTATCTTGGATGCTCACTGCTGAAGAGTCTCATACTAGGATGAGACGGCCATCCAGTGCTTCCAGGTTTTCGATAGTAGTCTATCTTAGATTGACTCGTGAATTCGCTTTTGAAAATATTACAGTCTTCACAAATCCCCTAAATTGAAAATAATTCTGTCAAGATTGATTTCGTCAAAATATAGATTTTACTTTTTATGAAGATACTAGAAAAGTACATCATCGTGTACCTCTATTCTATGCCATCATCGATTAGTTCTCCAGTCATTCACTTATAGGATCATTACATTTCCTTCTAGGTGTTTATAACAAATTAATGAAACACAGGTTTACCACGTTTTACTGCTCCATATCATATATAATGAGCTGTAGCTAAGCGGAAGCTTCCGGGACGACATTTATAAAATATGTTCAAACTATCTAAAGGCGTTACTTCCAAATGACAACACCTACGGTGTGTATGACTGGCTAACTAAAATGAAAAATAGTAAGATAAATAGTGAAAACATTTCCTTAAGGAGCAAATAAGCAGGTTTGTTTATATTCAAGATTTAAACAAAGAATAACATCTATATCACACTAAGCTTTAAGCCATTTCATCTTATATGTTTCGCTTTGTATTCCATCTTATGTACCATTTATCCTAACAACAGATATCTCCAATGCTAATATGAACAACAAACAATGGGTCTAACGTTATGTAATTATTTAGAGAAAATAGTATTTAGTGTATACTACTAAGTTACTATTATTTTCCTATGCTACATCCTTATATACAACGTTTCTTTTATATGTTACCACCACTAAATTAACTACTTCTATGAATCCGGTGTTCATGTTGTTGTGCTAACAAGGTATGTCAACTTGGACCGATGCATATTTGTGCCTGGTCCTACATTGTAGCTAACTGACTGACTGATTTTTATTATGAAAGCTATCAGTTTCCAGTTCATTTGTAATATATGATACATCCATTAGTGCTTTTTTTGTTTTAATAACAGCCACAAATTCAAATCAATGCTGTGAATAATCTAACTACAACTATTCAGAATACATTACAAATGACAGTATCAACGCTACTAAATCAAATTTTAGAAAATTCAAGCATTGTAAGTTTGGAAATATTCAACGATTATATTCATATTTTATTTTAAATTATTAGAGAAACATTAATTCTACAACAGCAGTTTATATAAAAAATATTAAAACTGTTCAACAGAAGTTAGAAATATTGGCTATCAGTGGGAAAGACAAGTTGTAAGTATCTATAATTTTATCTATTTAATTATCTTTGTGTAAATCCCACCTCCATCACAATGTTTGCCCTTAAATGCCCTGGTACGGCCGAGAGTGGGGAGAGTTCGCTCTCCCTCTCGAAATGCTCTCACATGGCCACGCGTATACAGCCTCTGTCAGGGAAGTCCTACTCACTGCCTTCTCGTAAAGGGGGTCTTGATTACGAAATTGAGAGGACGAAAAGCGAATGTCCGTCGCATGGACCGGGTTGGTGGACACGGATGGCCCACCTATGAGAGTTGGAAAACCCTGATTCCAAACCAATGGTGCACATGGACTCCAGTATCCTGAGGGAACAAATGGCGTATGAATCAATTGTTGGTCACCGGCTACCATGGGACTGCATCTCCTTACGATGCTCCACTGCCTTGTGGATCAGGTCTTTAGGTCAAAGGCTCCGGGTGTGGTCCCCTAAGAAAACCACCTGCTTCGGTCTGGGCACCTGTGCAGTATCACAGCCCTCACACAAATCAAATAAGATTTGTATGACGCATATGTATTTGGTGCCCCTTTGTACTAATATTTATGTGTTCAAATAAAATAATTAATACACGTTGTAGACGAGTTTCAAATAGTACGAAATATAGAGCCCGTGTTCTCCTGTTGACTAACTCTTACCACCACCACCACCTAACGATGGAGTCTAACATTTCAACCAAATAAGAGGTTGTTTTTACTGTGAGGTTTGGTGCATTTCAAGGGAGAAGATACTAATTACCACGATACTACTTTTGTTTGAATCCCAATATGTTGTTCTTCCTGATTGATTTTGGACTCCACTCTCGCTACTTTTAACTTATGATAAGTTACTGAGTGAAAATAGACACCGTTTGTTTAACATGTACTATTTATTGTCTGTACTTTTGTATCCTTCATCTTCGACATAAAACTGATTCACTTTTGTCAGATAAATATCATCAAGTCATTGAAATATAATTGGAATGTACTGGCATCTAGGATCCAGACTCCTGAGTATAACTAATCAGCTTAATGCGTTGCTTAGATATGGTTGTGTTATATAAAGTCATCTTGATTCATTTTGTTTCGGTTTCTTTTAGAGAAATTATTACGGATTTTGATCGTACACTATCAAAATATTGTCAAGATGGTGAACTTGTTCCAACTTCTTATGGTAACTTGTCTCAAATTTCTATAATACATCTTTGTCTCTAGGTATTTTTGAATCAGATCCTGAATTAACAGAAACAGCAAAATCCATGGTGAGTGGTCATCTACTGATTAAAAGAAATAATCATATGTAGTTTCAGTTTCGAGTAGTCGGTAGATTTATTCATACTCATGCTGTTTAGTTATGAAGAACCATTATTGGAGAGTGATGGATTAGTGGTTATAAACTACTGGGCTTCCAACCGATAGGTTTCGGGTTCGACTCCCGTTCTATACATTTCGGTTTGGATAGCCATGTTATTGTCACAACTAGCCCTCACATATAACTGAAGTATTACTCAAAGCTCAATATGTGAACCTGTATTCGGTAAATGAATTACAATAGGACGAGAAGAGTCGTTGATATATATATATATATGCTATTTCACCTACATTGATTTATACAGCTGGATCATACAAGTCTTGTACTTGAATATTGAGTATGTCTCAAAGTTGATCATACTAAGCATGCTTAAACCTGTTTCGTGATTTGTGTCAGTATTTTCCACTTTATACTGTTTCTAGAATAAAGTACAAAATCTTAAAATTTCATCCCGGCTATTCTGTATTTGACTCATCATTTCATCACTAACTAACACTAATAGGTTTACTAGTACTAGTATTAAAGACATGTATCCTTATCAAATGTTACTTACTAAGCTGCGACACATTTCCCAGAAGCTGTGACTGGTGGAATTGAAACATATTGGATGGGAGGCAGTTACCTACCAAAAGACGTGGTAAGATTTTTGGGTGACATCGAGAATTGATTAAATTTAGAAATTTAAACCATTGATTGCAGGGTCATCAATCCAAATGTTAAGTGTTTGCCGTGAGATCTAAAGCTCCTATGTTCGATTCCCGGTGAATTCGTGAATATACTGATGTATGGGTGTGAATGATAATGATGAGTTGTCTGCTTAGTTAGATTAGTAAATTGTCTGACAGGTACTTGATGAGTTATATATTCCCCTACCCTTACTATTATTGTGACTGCTGTCGGTTTTTGGTGTGGAAATATATTTACAGGCTAGTTACGTGTTCTTGATCTGAGTTGTGTTGAAGTCCTGTAGAATAAACACTGGGAGGGTATCTAGTTTAGATATTCGTCTAAGTCAAATTAGCGTCCCATACGCGTAGACGGAAAACTGAGCGTTATAATATATACACTACCAAAGAGCTCCATATCAAGACGAAGCAGCTGTCGAATGCCTTCGAGTCTTCTATGGTTGTCTAATGAATGACAGTTTGTGATGTAAACTACGAAGTTCAAAACCTAAGCAAGCTTCCTCAAGCAATAAATATTTCCTTCATCCCCTAGTTTCCAAAACGTGGCATCAGTGCTTGAAGTCACTAACTTCTAGTCTGAGCCATGTTGGCAGATGCAGACTACCTGGTTGGGGTCTGCGTGACTATCGTAACCAGTGGTTGGAAACTCTAGGTGACATGGCTCAGAATCGATCACAATGGCGTAGATGTATACACTCTTTATCTTCCCTTACACCTTGAGATTAAAATCGCTTCATAACTTTCTTCCTTCCTATTCTATATCCTTATATACAACCTTTCTTTATATACTACCACCACTAAATTAATTACTTCTATGAATCCGGTGTTCATCTTGTTGTGCTAACGAGGTATGGCAACTTGAACAGATGCATATATTTGCCTGGTCCTACGTTGTAGCTGACTGACTGACTAGTTCCCAGTCCCTTCACCATTTTTGTTCTCAACTAATTACAATCAATTTAATAAATTGAAAATTATATATCTGTTTATAGGTCTCATGTTCATTTATATATCAATTTTTTTAATTAAATATTAGCTTATAAATCTACGAAACAAATACTACCCTATTGAATTGGATAATAATCTTACAGAAAATGAAAAAACCCCATATATGTTAGAATGGTGGGAATTAGCTCATGAAGTAATTATTGAATGTGGAATACAAAAACATACATTAGAAAAAACTGTTAAAGAATCCCATTTAGTATTACGGTAAGAATTTAGTAATGATGTCTATATTAATTCTTGGTTTTAAAATTTTCTTTATCTACTCAACTTTTATCAATTTGTCATTTGTAGATAATATCAGAAGGGATTTTGTGAATATTATAGCAATTTTAATAGTTAAGATCATGAGTCAATTGAACCTAGACCATCATAAAAAACCTGCATGCACTGGATGACCGTTTCGTCGTATTGTGGGACTCCTCAACAGTCCGCATCCACGATCCCTCCTCACGAGATTCGAACTCAGGACCTATCAGTCTCGCGCGTAAGAGCTTAACCTCTAGATCACTAAGCCGGCCGGCATCCAACGGCCGTCCAGTGCTTTCATGTTTTCCATGGCGGTCTATCTTCAATTGACTCATCATCTCAACTATTGAAATTTGTAGATAAGTTAGTGATACTTACGAATTAACTGCTTAAAATAATTGATATAATATTTGAACTTGAAAGTTAAATGTTTTAAGCAATCGTTCTTTCGTTTTCTTAAATGTGATCGTTTAAAATGTTCTGGAACTATTTTTCTAATTTTATAGAGTTGAGATCATGAGTCAATTAAAGCTAGACTACCATCGAAAACCTGGAAGCACTGGACGGCCGTTTCGTTCTATTATGGGACTCCTCAGCAATGGTCTACGTTCAATTGACTCATGATCTCAACTCTATAAAATTACTAAAATCTCCACCAAACCCCTTCTGATATTTTTCTTTTTGTGGTTTTAATTAATTTTATATTTACATTTTAAAACTTCAGTGATAAAGTGAGTGAATTTTTCCAGTTATTATCGGATTATCATATACCAGTATTGGTTTTCTCGGCTGGACTTGGGGATGTAATTGATTTATCCCTTCATCATGCAAATGTTTATCATGATAATATGCGTGTTGTTTCAAATTTTATGCAGTTCAATGACAATGTAAGCATTATTTATTATTATTATTATTATTATTATTATTATTATTCTAGTAGTACTGTGATATTTTATCACTCAAGTACCATCTTTCTGATAATTATGAATGACACATAAAAAGGACTCAATCATAGATTAATTATGTTGTCAGGTTGACAATAAATAACAAACTAAGTATTTTATCTGAAACGGTATTTGGCTATATTTTCTGTTGTGCAGTGATTATCAACAGATTAGTCACGACCTGAGTGGCCAATTGGTAGCATTTCAGCATATGATACGATGGTGTCATTGGAACACAAATACCCCTCAAGATTTCACGTGTATATCTAGTTGATAAATGTCAACTAGTTTGAAACCCTGGTCTACAAGGTTTCTTCCTGGGTACCTTCAATTAGCTAACGTCATAGGTTGATATCATTTAAAGTACTCCTTTAAATCTAATTCAGAATAGTTATTTCAGCCTTGTTTACAACTTTTCAAAAATGTCTATGTACCAATTAATACAATTAACGTACAATTTACATATGAATAGCGATGATAAATAGAGTTTTTACTCAATATTAGATATACAGTTGAATAACAAAATGAAAAACAAATAGAAATCTTTATGATCCCACTCGAAAAAATTTACTCTAAATCAATGTGCAATATTTTGACACTCATATCTACTCGTCCATTGAACTCGATCCTAGTGACTACTCTGTAATATTCTTATTTTTGACAATATCGATATTACTTACTTACTTACGCCTGTTACCCCTTGTGGAGAAGCATAGGCCGCTCACCAGCATTCTCCATCCAACTCTGTCCTGAGCCTTCCTTTCCAGTTCTTTCCAGTTGCCATTCATCCTTTTCATATTGGCTTCTATTTCCCGGCGTAGTGTGTTCTTTGGCCTTCCTCTTTTCCGCTTCCCTTCCGGATTCCAAGTAAGGGATTGCCTCGTGATGCAGTTTGGTGATTTCCTTAATGTATGTCTTATCCACTTCCAACATCTTTTCCTAATTTCCTCTTCGTCTGGAAGCTGGTTTGTCCTCTCCCACAGAAGGCTGTTGCTGTTAGTATCCAGCCAATGGATGTTGAGTATTTTGCGTAGACAACTGTTTATAAATACTTGTACCTTCTTGACGATGGATGTAGTAGTTCTCCACGTTTGAATTACTGTTATAATAATGATTCAATTAATTTAATGAAATTTATGAGTAACTCAATTGATCTAACTACTAGTACTCTAACAATATTTAACTGAATAGATAGATTCTCGAAATATACAAGTCTGTTAATTTACTAGTTTGACTAAATATGTATATATATATATATGTTGGTGAACTAAAGCTACTTATATTTGTGGAAAGTATTCAATCAAGATAGTATGAGTTACTTGTTGGTTAATAAACAATTAGTCAAAAATATATACTACTTTAAGGTCACAATATAATCAATAATGTTTCGATTGCGACTAGTTTACCAGTTAATTAAGGTCATAAGACTAACGTTCATCGGAATGGGATTCTGTATTGTAAATACAAACGTACATTAAGAGGATAATTTATAACCCTTTAGAGTATTAGTTTCATGGCATAATTTACAACTTTTTGTTGATAAGTTTGATATTGATTATTTTGAAGATATCACCCATCTTAAGTTAAGAAAAATGATCATAGTCAACAAATACCATCCATTGGCATGTTCTAATGAGATGACTCCAAATTCCTTTTTAATCTAGAGGTTACATACTTACTTACGCCTGTTACCCCCGGTGGAGGAGCATAGGCCTCACACTAGCATTCTCCATCCAACTCTGTCCTGAGCCTTCCTTTCCAGTTCTTTCCAGTTGCTATTCAGCCTTTTCATATCGGCTTCTATTTCTCGGTGTAGTGTGTTCTTTGGCCTTCCACTTTTCCGCTTCCCTTCCGGATTCCAAGTTAGGGATTGAGTCGTGATGCACATTGGTGACTTCCTTAATGTATGTCCGATCCACTTCCAACGTCTTTTCCTAATTTCCTCTTCAGCTGGAAGCTGGTTTGTCCTCTCCCATAAAACGCTGTTGCTGATAGTATCCGGCCAATGAATGTTGAGTATTTTGCGTAAACAATTGTTTATAAATACTTGTACCTTCCTGATGATGGCCGTAGTAGTTCTCCACGTTTCAGCTCCATGCAGTAGGACTGTCTTGACGTTCGTATTAAAGATTCTGACCTTGAAATTGGTTGAAAGTTGTTTTGAGTTCCATATGTTCTTCAATTGTGGAAATGCTGCCCTTGCTTTGCCAATCCTTGCCTTTACATCTGCATCCGATCCTCCTTGTTTATCAACGATGCTCCCCAGGTACTTGAATGTTTCCACCTCTTCCAGGGTTTCGCCATCAAGTGTAATTGGGTTGGTGTTCTCTGTGTTGCATTTGAGAATCTTGCTTTTTCCTTTGTGAATGTGGAGGCCTATCGATGCGGAGGCTGCTGCCACATTTTCTGTCTTCATCTGCATTTGTTCGTGTGTATGAGAGAGGAGGGCTAGGTCATCTGCGAAGTCCAAATCATCTAATTGATTCTGAGAAGTCCATTGTATTCCGTATTTCCCTTCAGATGTCGAATTCGTCATAATCCAGTCAATCACTAGAAGGAAGAGGAATGGGGAGAGTAGACAGCCTTCTCTGACTCCGGTCCTTACTGGAAATGCATCTGTCAGTTGTCCTCCATGCACGACTTTGCACTGTAGTCCATCGTATGAGTTTTGGATAATGTTGACAATCTTTTCAGGAACTCCTTAGTGTCGAAGAAGTTTCCATAATGTCCTCCTATCCACGCTGTCAAACGCCTTCTCATAGTCAATGAAGTTGACGTATAGTGATGAATTCCACTCAACTGATTGTTCAACGATGATCCGAAGTGTCGCAATCTGGTCTGTGCACGACCGATCCTTACGGAATCCAGCCTGATTATCCCTAAGTTCAGCGTCTACTGCGTCTTTCATCCGATTCAGCAGCACCCTGTTGAAAACTTTTCCTGGTACTGATAACAAACTGTTGCCTCTGTAGTTCTCACATTGGCTCAGATCTCCTTTCTTTGGTATCTTGATGAGATATCCTTCTTTCCAGTCCGTTGGCACTTGTTCCTCTTCCCAAATCTTCTTGAATAGAAAGTGAAGCATGTTTGCAGTTATTTCAATGTCTGACTTCAGTGCTTCTGCTGGTATATTGTCAGGTCCTGTCGCCTTCCCACTTTTGATTTGTCTGATGGCCATCTTGACTTCTTCGATCGTTGGTGGAGTGACATCTATTGGAAGGTCTGTGTGGGCTGCTTCGATGTTCGGTGGATTCAATGGGGCTGGTCTATTCAGCAGTTCCTCGAAGTATTCTGTCCATCTTTTCCTCTGTTCTTGAATCTCAGTGATTGTCTTTCCTTCTTTGTCCACGACTGGTCTCTCTGGTTTGCTATATCTCCCTGCCAATTTCTTCGTTGCATCATATAGTTGTTTCATATTCCCTTCTCTAGCAGCTTTTTACGCCGTCGTTGCTAGTCCTTCCATGTATTTCTGCTTGTCGGTTTTAATGCTTTTCTTCACTTCCCTGTTTGCTTCTGCGTAGTCTGCTTGTGCTTTGACTTTCTCTGCTCGTGTTCGGCTGTTGTTAAATTCTAGTTTCTTGTTCTTCATTTCTTGAATCTTGTTGAGGGTTCCCATAGAGATCCATTCCTTGTGATGATGCTTCTTAGGACCAAGAACCTGCTGACACGTTGAAGTTAGTGCTTCTTTTATCCCTTTCCAGTTGTCCTCCAAAGTAGTTTCTTGTTCTTTCAGTAGATCCTGTAGAGCTTGGAACCTGTTGTTGAGAGTAATCTTGAATTCGCTGAGCTTGTCAGTATCTCGAAGGAAGGCTGTATTGAACCTTTGTAGTGCTGTTTGTCCAGTTGTCCAGTGTTTCTTTAGCTTCAGTCTCATCTTGGCCATAACCAGGTGGTGATCTGAAGCTATGTCAGCTCCTCTCCTTGTTCTTACATCTTCCATTGACCTTCGGATTTTTTGTTGGTACAGATGTGATCTATCTGGTTCTCTGTGGTGTGGTCCGGTGAGATCCATGTAGCTTTGTGTATGCGCTAGTGTGGGAATATTGTGCTGCCTATAACCAATTTGTTGAATGCACATAGATTTGCAAGTCTCTCCCCATTTTCATTTCTCTCTCCTAGTCTATGTCGTTCAATTACATCTTCATATCCTGTGTTGTCCACTCCAACTTTAGCATTTAGATCTCCCATAAGGATGGTGAGGTCCTTTCGTGAGCACTTCTCTATAATTGATTGCAGCCTTTCATAGAACTGATCTTTATCATCGTCGTTGCTATCATTAGTGGGTGCATAACATTTGATAATGTTCATTTTGATCCCTTGCTTCTTTGTTCTGAATGATGCTTTGATTATCCTGGGTCCATGAGATTCCCATCCCACAAGTGCATTTCGTGCTTCTTTGGACAGTATTAGAGCAACTCCCTGAGTGTGTGGAGCATTTTCCCCTTCATGACCGGAGTACAGCAGCATCTCTCCAGTACCTAGCCTTTGTTGTCCAGTTTGTGTCCAATGGGTTTCGCTGATTCCGAGTACTGCCAAGTTGTATCTTCTCATTTCCATTGCTATTTGGCTGGTTTTTCCTGTCTCCCACATCGTCCGGACGTTCCATGTACCTATAAAGAGTGTTGGTCTGGTTGTTAGAAGGTGCATCGGTCTCGTGACTTCCGAAGAATTTCGGCTTTCATCATAAGATGTCATTATTCCTTCAACTCCCAGGGCACAGTTTAAATGGTTTGAATTGTTTTTTCTGGTTAGCGTTTTTTTAGCGAGTTAGCTTTTCTACGAGATGGGGTCGCTAACCCCATGCCCAACCCTCCTCCTTTGTGTTGGCTTGGGACCGGCAGTAACTCTAGAAGAGCTACAGGCGGAGTTACAATATCGATATGTATAAAGTTAATGCTAAATGTATCTTCAATCATCGTTTAATGTTCACTTTTTGCTCCCAAATGCTCTCACATGACCACACGTATTGTTGGTCACCGGCTACCATGTGACTTCATCTCCTCACGATGCTCCACAGCCTTGTGAATCAGATTTTTCGGTCAAAGGCTCGAGGTGTGACCCTCTAAAAGAACCACCTGCTTCGGTTTGGGCAGCCGGGCAGTATCAAAGCCCTTTCACAAATCAAATAAGATTTGTGTAGCACATATATGTCTGGTGTCTTCTTGTACCAATATTTATGTGTTTAAATAAGTAAATGGTGCCCCTAATAAAAAGAGTTTAATAAGTGATTTTTAATGTCCTCTTGCTGATACCATAGTAAGCGGTCGATATTGATCCCAATGATGTTGATGGAAATACATATCCCTCTGAACTTAGTACATATTCTGTTTACTTAACATGAAAAATGATAGATTAAGGGTCGAATACGAGTCACTTTTTGGATATTATATATATCAGATATCCTTTAGTGCATGCAGACGATGAGAACTATGGATCAGAAAAGGCAAACGCGTCTACTGGATGAATAATGAGCGACTAATTCGTTATATCACGATGATTAATGTTTAAATTACAAAAAAGCAAAAACAGTAATGCTATTAGGTACATATAAGGCAAGTTCACATGGAAATAATTATCAAGGTCATAATTGAAAAAGTACATAGTAAGATAGTAAAATATCTGATCAGATTAAAATGATATAATCAATAATGGCCAGGCGAAATCGACTACCTAGTAGTGTGATAAGAGATGTTAACTTATCAGCCTTGTTCTTTCCGATAATTTATTCAAGTTTAAACGAGATGTTAAATATGCAAACAAGACTATAAGGCTGACTGGCTCAGGTTCTTTCAAATCTCATAGCGAGCACCCGTTCCTTTAGAATTGAAGGATACATCTTGTTGATGAGTGCCAACTAGCACGAAATCTGGATCCAGGGTTTTCCGCCAACAACACCTTACCACCAACTCACATCTCAATATAGTGTATTTGATGTCGAATCACTCAGACTGGTAACCACATTGATAGAATTCGATCAGCACTAGAAAGTATAATACTAATCAATACCCAGTGATCAATTGTTCTGTATAAATATAATCACAATGCACTTCGAATATAGAATGAAAACTAGCATACTAAACCGGTCAACAAACACTAACAAAAGAAAAGCATCTTTGATTGAGTCTAAATCAAAAGACACATTGTGAGGAGCTTTGGCTTTGAAAATCACTAGTTCGAAATATTAAACAATACATAAAAAGATGGTATTTAAAAAAAATTATTCTTGTTTAACATTATTCTTATTATTTGTTATATTGTTCTGTAGGGTAAATTAATTGGATTCAGTTCACCAATTATTCATGTATTTAATAAAACAGCTGGCTCTATTATAAATAATAGTATACCTAAACGTCCCAATGTTTTATTACTTGGCGATTCTCCTGGTGATGTGCATATGGCTGATGGTGCTACTATTGATGATCCAACAGGTCAACTTGGAATAGTATTACGTATTGGCTTTTTAAACGAATCAGTAAGATATGCTTTTTTCCTCCGTCATATATATATATATATATATATATATATATATATATATATATATATATATACGGATGTATATACTAGACCTAACTATTCACAGAAAAACCAATTTACTCATTATAAGAGTTACTGCATCAATATGCTTTATATTAGAATAGTTTATTTTCAGTTTATGGTTGCGTAGATTGTTGAATTCCATTGAAACCATGAACCGATTAACGTTAGACAACCATTGGAAACCTGAAAGTATTGCACGGTCGTTTCGTCCTAGCATTAGACTCTTCAACGATATGCATCGGCGACATCGCAACCTCGAGTTTAACCCAAGACCTTCGGTCTCTCATGCGAACATGTAACCGGTAGATCACTGAACCGGTATCCACTAGTGTACAAGTCTAACTTCAACAACATCCGACCTAAGGCCTCCTTGAGGCGCTGCTAGATAATAGGGGAAACCTCGCTAGTCAATTTAAGAGGTCAATGGAGGTCGGACTGATCACCCACTCCGTTATAACTTTGTTCTACTCGATGCTCACTTAACCACACCGCGCAACCTGATGTGTGTGCTTATGTACAAAAGAAACGTTAGCTGAAATATTGTTTCCCCTATGTCTAATAAAATCAGTGGCCTTGTCTATTAGATCGAAGATATAGGAAAAGGTGGTAGAAAATGCTAGGAAGAGGTGATCGATAACCTCCTGAAAGAATGCTAGTCCAAGTAATTGCGAATCACGTCCACTATGTTTGGATGCTAGAAAATTGGCGAAAATCTCTGCTTAATCCGGATTTCGTGTTATCTGTCGTTCAACCAAAAAACTAATAATAGAGAATAAACCAGTTGAACCCGCCAAATATTGCACTTAAAAATCTCAGCCCTAGTGGGTTGGTGTCTGACGAAATTTCATTCCAGATCCAAAAACGTCGATGGATTTTACCAACTTATGTCACTTGTGACAAAGGCGAGATGTCCGTCTACCAACAGAAGGACCATTTTACTGTAAGTTACTCCACTCTGTTTCATTTCCTGGCGTTCAGTGACATCGTTCAAAGTCCTACTCAGAGACGCAAATTCATTTACTCTTTCTCTTGCCTTAGATTCTAATTTTCCAAACTCCTGTTTTCTTTTCATTACGCGAATTTATTCTTGTCGAATCGTATCCTCTGTATCTAATCTTTTGTACTGCCCCTAAGTGGCCTGGTACGGACGAGGATGTAGAAAATCTGTTCTCCTTCTCAAAGTGCTACTAGCCGCCTTCTCGCGGTGTGGGTTATTAACGATTTTGGGAGGGAAAAAAGCTAATGTCCGGCACCTTGACCGGGTTGTTGGACACGAAGAGTTCACCTGTGGGAGATGCAAAACCTTGATTCCGAACCAATGGTGCATACAGGCTTCAAGATCCTGATGGAACAAATGGAGTACGAACCTATTTTTGGTCACCAGCTAACTTAGCACCGCATCTCCTAACGTTTCTCCATTGCCTTGTGAATCAGATGTTCAAGGTCAAAGGCACCGAGTATGGTCCCCTAAAAATAACTACCTTCATTGATCTAGGCAGCCGAGCAGGATCAGAGCTTACACACAAATCGAGTGGCTAGTGTGGTATACATTTATTCGGTGTCCTTTTATACCAATATTTATGTTTAAATAATAATAATAATAATAATCATAACCACCATGGATATAAGTGAACATTATATCTCAAATAATCTCAACGATTTACATTTGAAATAATTCCAACGTTTCGTCCAACTAACTTGTCTGCACTTCTTCAGGGTAATAATCCAAAAACCAAATCTATATTACACTAAAACCAATCATATTTAGATGTTGAATTTTTGTAAATAGGATAATATGAGTCAGTTAATAAATGAGAATCATGTAACAAGTCCACAATGTGAAAATAAAAAAAAGTGGATGAATTGTGTGTGTGTGTGTGTGTGTGTAGATGTAAGAATCAGTTATGAATGAATGACATTCAATGTTAATTTGTTTCTATATGAAGTAAAAATAAAAGTGCAAATTGAAAGGTTGATAAAAATGGTTTCTCAGTCATTGAATTGCAAGTAAAAATAAGAATCATCTAGTACATCATTGTATTGCTAAACATAACTCATATTGATTTCAGTCGAAATAACGATTCATGTGAAATAAAAATGAACAGGTTGAATAAAGAAAGAAAAGGTCCAATTACTTGTTTGTTGATGAATATTTGCCAAATGGCTACCAGTTGAATACCATCCTTTCTATTTAGGCTGTTCTTACTTATTTGCCCATATATAAACAGCGCTTCTGCTGTCAATCTTTCTTTATGAGTGTTGAAACCTTTCTGAAGTATTTCGGCCCCTTCAAAATTAATCCTGTTTCTAACACATGTTACGCTATCGCATATTTATTCTCAAGTTTCCTTACGTCAACCGAAGTTTTGGGAACATTTTTCAAACACTGTTTGTGTTCCTTTAACCTTACATTCAATTGTCTGGATGTTTTCCCCACTTAAGTTGCATTACAATCATGACAATTGATGTCATAGACATTATTTTGTTGTTCTTCCTTTGGTAACCTATCCTTAACTTTCACCAATGACGATCTTATAGTGTCACATGTCCGAAAATACACTCTTATATCATGCTTGTTTAAAATCCGTTTGATTTCTTCCGATGTTTCACTACGGTATGGGATGATGAAACCCAGTAGACTTCCAATCTTTTTGTATACATTCTAGTTTAGCTTTTCTTTCATTTCTAATAATCTTCTCTAAAAGCTCCTTTGGGTAGTTGTTATCCCTAAGTGTAGATAAAATCCTATTCAATTCAAAATGTTGGTCTTCCTTATCTGTAACAAGCTTAAGACTTCTGTTAATTAAATCTGTAACAACCGTGACTTTCGTACATAAAGCATGAGCCGAATCAAAATCTAAGTATCTCTCTGAATGTGTTGATTTCCTGAAAACACTTATTCTCAACTTCCTATTAGTATGTCTTCGCTCAACCAAACAATCGAGAAATGCTAGTTTGTGGTCAACGGACTCTATTTCCTTCGTTAGATTAATTTGTTCCGAAATGTTGTTCACATTTTCAAACAATTCTTTTAAACAATCCTGTTTAATGATAACAAAAATGTCATCTACATACCGTAGCTAGACCTTTGCTTGACATACAATTCTTGAGATTGCACTAGTTTCTAAGGAATGCATGAATAAATTCGCTACAATCGGAGAAACTTGTGAACACATAGCTATACCTTCTTTTTGTCTGTATAGATCTCCTCGAAATGTGAATAAGGTGGACCTTAAACATAGTTCCAAGCATTTGATAACCTCAGATGGATCTAATGGGCAACGTAAATTCAAATCCAAATCAGATTCTAAACAAACATAAATTATATCCAACGCTCTGTTGATAGGTACGTTAGTAAATAAGGAAGAAACATCAAAACTTGCCATTATTTCATCCTCTTCTATATCGATGGTATCAATAATATTTTTAAATACCATAGAGTTTTTAATTCCATGATTAATCAATTTTTCATACGGTTTTAGTATCCTAGCTAAGTATTTCGCTAGGTTGTAAGTCGGTGAATTTGTGAAATCGACCACTGGTCTTAGTGGAGTACTATCCTTGTGAATCTTAGGGAGTCCATAGAATCTACAAGGGTTACAACTTTTTGGACTTACCATGAACCATAATGGCGTTCCTAGCTTGACCTTTAACGAATGTAAGATTTTACTTGTTTCAGCCTTAAGTTTATTGAGCGTAGTTCTACTTTTTTTATCTTTGATTAATTCATACGGGCCCTCTTGTAGATGTTCCTTGGCTTTTTTCTCGTAGTCCAATTTGTTCATAACAACTGTCGTGTTCCCTTTATCTGATCTCATAATGATAATTGTCTTATCATTTCTTAGTTGCTTTAAAGCATATAACTTATTTTTAATCATATTCGATTTGTATGATTTCTGACTTACTAACGTGGACATTATGATATTCCTCAATTCATTAGGAAGTATATTCAAAGCTGGTTCTATTGCTTGCATAATATTGAAAATCAATAATTGTGGTCCATTGATATTGAAATGGAGATCGAATATGATTAAAAATAAGTTATATGCTTTAAAGCAACTAAGAAATGATAAGACAATTATCATTATGAGATCAGATAAAGGGAACACGACAGTTGTTATGAACAAATTGGACTACGAGAAAAAAGCCAAGGAACATCTACAAGAGGGCCCGTATGAATTAATCAAAGATAAAAAAAGTAGAACTACGCTCAATAAACTTAAGGCTGAAACAAGTAAAATCTTACATTCGTTAAAGGTCAAGCTAGGAACGCCATTATGGTTCATGGTAAGTCCAAAAAGTTGTAACCCTTGTAGATTCTATGGACTCCCTAAGATTCACAAGGATAGTACTCCACTAAGACCAGTGGTCGATTTCACAAATTCACCGACTTACAACCTAGCGAAATACTTAGCTAGGATACTAAAACCGTATGAAAAATTGATTAATCATGGAATTAAAAACTCTATGGTATTTAAAAATATTATTGATACCATCGATATAGAAGAGGATGAAATAATGGCAAGTTTTGATGTTTCTTCCTTATTTACTAACGTACCTATCAACAGAGCGTTGGATATAATTTATGTTTGTTTAGAATCTGATTTGGATTTGAATTTACGTTGCCCATTAGATCCATCTGAGGTTATCAAATGCTTGGAACTATGTTTAAGGTCCACCTTATTCACATTTCGAGGAGATCTATACAGACAAAAAGAAGGTATAGCTATGTGTTCACAAGTTTCTCCGATTGTAGCGAATTTATTCATGCATTCCTTAGAAACTAGTGCAATCTCAAGAATTGTATGTCAAGCAAAGGTCTAGCTACGGTATGTAGATGACATTTTTGTTATCATTAAACAGGATTGTTTAAAAGAATTGTTTGAAAATGTGAACAACATTTCGGAACAAATTAATCTAACGAAGGAAATAGAGTCCGTTGACCACAAACTAGCATTTCTCGATTGTTTGGTTGAGCGAAGACATACTAATAGGAAGTTGAGAATAAGTGTTTTCAGGAAATCAACACATTCAGAGAGATACTTAGATTTTGATTCGGCTCATGCTTTATGTACGAAAGTCACGGTTGTTACAGATTTAATTAACAGAAGTCTTAAGCTTGTTACAGATAAGGAAGACCAACATTTTGAATTGAATAGGATTTTATCTACACTTAGGGATAACAACTACCCAAAGGAGCTTTTAGAGAAGATTATTAGAAATGAAAGAAAAGCTAAACTAGAATGTATACAAAAAGATTGGAAGTCTACTGGGTTTCATCATCCCATACCGTAGTGAAACATCGGAAGAAATCAAACGGATTTTAAACAAGCATGATATAAGAGTGTATTTTCGGACATGTGACACTATAAGATCGTCATTGGTGAAAGTTAAGGATAGGTTACCAAAGGAAGAACAACAAAATAATGTCTATGACATCAATTGTCATGATTGTAATGCAACTTAAGTGGGGAAAACATCCAGACAATTGAATGTAAGGTTAAAGGTTTTGTAGTGCCGTGCTTCGATCATAGTTCGCTTCGATAACCGTTATTAATACCAATCTTAACGGTGTATAATATCAGAAGGCCAAGGGAAGCGGCAACTACATTTTTATTGATAATCGATGTAGACCAGAAAGTTGTAAGCACATGAGCAACTGTAAGCAAGCGAAGCAAAGATGATGCGTATTGGAGATGGCTGGGAAGCCAACTCATTTTAAGCAAGCGTTAACTAACATTTATAGGCAGGCAAAAATGAGTGACAGACATATGATGAATAAGATACGAAGTGTACACATATGCGCTCATATAAAAAGTACTCAAGGTTAATAAGCAAATGATTAACAAGATCAAAAGATGACTCAATGTACAGGTGAATTGGCTTGGCCAGTAACTAGAATAAAGTATATGGGCCTAACATATGAACTGGTACTACATTGCCCCCTTGTAGAAAATAGCACATTTATAAAAAAATGTCTGTTTTCGAAAAATAACACTGAAGCGGTATGAGGATAACGTCAAAATGTGGGAAAAAATGGTACAATACCTGATAAATTACAGTGTCATGTGAGGGGTGAGCGTATTAAGCGAAAGTGTCATACTTACGTAAAAATGTACATGAATGTTGTCAAGATGCGGACAAAAAATTGAAATGCTAGCATGTGATTATGAGTACATTAGTAAGCGTACGAAAAAAAATTTAACATGCATATATGTGGTGACTGTCTGAATGATAAAATAACAGGATCGTGTAAGCAATTTGAAATATCGTGAAGATAGAATATAACAGATATTGGTCTATAGTGCCGACTGAATATGACGATAAAGAACAGTGGAATATGTTCTGATAAGCTGCAGTCGAGTAAATAGAGTCGATTGGCGATGAGTGGATTCGAATTTACATAACTGAAGTTTATGTGGGATAAGAAGGAAGGAAGATGACTGCATCAACAGGTGGCATTCATTGCTGTACTGCAATTGATTATGATAATAAAATGCGAAGTCAGTGTGCGTTGTCGCTTGCGTTGAGTTATCGTTAAATATGTATTAGTAGAATGACCAGAGGAACAGGATAGTGACTGCTTAGACGAGATATGCGGAGTCGTATTCCTTTATGGTCATGCAGCCTAGCGTGGTTTGTGTAGTTAGAGGGATATGCGTTCAACCTCATTTGTTACGAAACCGTATTAAGGCATGATAAAAAATACCAATACATATGATTATCAATGACGGCGAGTGAGACTGACTTGAATGTGACGAACAAGAGTGTATCTTTGAGAGACCAGCTCTAAACTCTATGTTCTTGTATGCAGTGCTATGGGGATAGAAAATCAATTGCAGTAATCGAATTTTGATTATCGGTAATGGATGATGCAGCATTCAGATATAAATGTGAATAAATAGATAATATGAAAATAATCATTACTAATCGGCTGGTAATGCGGCGTCAAATACTTGATTTGTGTATAGGCATTAAAGTAGGGATCATCGTGAAACAAAAATTGCGGAAGTTCTGTTTAGATTGTCGCTGAAAATGTAGGAAACGACGGTTGCTGCGTACCAATGAAATGAATGAACATTAGTTGTATATCGATAACATAAGTTCCTACTATCGGGAGTATGACTCCAAACTTATGTCTATGATAGAGTGTAATATTAGACCGAAAATGACATGAAAAAGAAAAACTTGGAACGAACTCACCTAAATCAGCAAAATTTTACGTCATTGAATAATGAAAATAATCCAGTGAGTTTCGAATATCATAACGTGTAATGTCCATATAATTATAATTTGTTCGATTAGTGATATGACTGCGTACATGCCATAGTTTAATGTCAATAAGAACAAAAATAATAATTCCACGTTAGATGATGATATGACATTATTGTAATAATGAGCATATGATGATTATTCGAATCATAACGGAATATGTCGTCGGTCGTTCCATTTTTGATATGCGTTCGCTCGTTGCGGTCGCCAATTATGTTGTGAGTTCGTACGTAGAGGTTGTCGATTCTGGTCCGGGTTCGTTCGGCGAGACATCCAATTCTGTAGCGTCGTGCTCGTTCGGCGAGGCCTCCAATTTTGTTGTGAGTTCGTACGTTGAAGTTACCAACTTTGCTTCGCGTTCGTAATTCGGGATCGCCAATATGTGTTGCGTGTTCGTACGTCGGGATTACCAATATGTAGTGTAGTGCTTCGTTAATCGATCGTCTTGATAACCGTTATTAATACCAATCTTAACGGTGTATAATATCAGAAGGCAAAGGGAAGCGGCAACTACATTTTTATTGATAATCGATGCAGACCAGAAAGTTGTAAGCACATGAGCAACTGTAAGCAAGCGAAGCAAAGATAATGCGTATTTGAGATGGCTGGGAAGCCAACTCATTTTAAGCAAGCGTTAACTAACATTTATAGGCAGGCAAAAATGAGTGACAGACATATGATGAATAAGATACGAAGTGTACACATATGCGCTCATATAAAAAGTACTCAAGGTTAATAAGCAAATGATTAACAAGATCAAAAGATGACTCAATGTACAGGTGAATTGGCTTGGCCAGTAACTAGAATAAAGTATATGGGCCTAACATATGAACTGGTACTACAAAGGAACACAAACAGTGTTTGAAAAATGTTCCCAAAACTTCGGTTGACGTAAGGAAACTTGAGAATAAATATGCGATAGCGTAACATGTGTTAGAAACAGGATTAATTTTGAAGGGGCCGAAATACTTCAGAAAGGTTTCAACACTCATAAAGAAAGATTGACAGCAGAAGCGCTGTTTATATATGGGCAAATAAGTAAGAACAGCCTAAATAGAAAGGATGGTATTCAACTGGTAGCCATTTGGCAAATATTCATCAACAAACAAGTAATTGGACCTTTTCTTTCTTTATTCAACCTGTTCATTTTTATTTCACATGAATCGTTATTTCGACTGAAATCAATATGAGTTATGTTTAGCAATACAATGATGTACTAGATGATTCTTATTTTTACTTGCAATTCAATGACTGAGAAACCATTTTTATCAACCTTTCAATTTGCACTTTTATTTTTACTTCATATAGAAACAAATTAACATTGAATGTCATTCATTCATAACTGATTCTTACATCTACACACACACACACACACACACACAATTCATCCACTTTTTTTTATTTTCACATTGTGGACTTGTTACATGATTCTCATTTATTAACTGACTCATATTATCCTATTTACAAAAATTCAACATCTAAATATGATTGGTTTTAGTGTAATATAGATTTGGTTTTTGGATTATTACCCTGAAGAAGTGCAGACAAGTTAGTTGGACGAAACGTTGGAATTATTTCAAATGTAAATCGTTGAGATTATTTGAGATATAATGTTCACTTATATCCATGGTGGTTATGATTATTATTATTATTTAGACACAAATATCGTCACAATTTTTGTCAAGGTATTCGTTCTTTTCTGGACTGACATTTGTATGTATCATGTATATTGGTAGTAATTATATAACTCTGATGTCCTACTTTACCGACATAGCGTGGCAACTACAATCGACAAGCATATATACTTGGTTCTACTTTCCATGTGATTGTCTGATTTCCGTGTTATATCTAGAGCTTTGATTCTAGCTATACCGTATGCTGCTTGAGCACTTGAAAGCTATAGCCATCGAAGTCGCAAGTTAGAACACAGAAAACGAATGAGAAGGGATGCTATTTCAAACACTGTCTTATATGGTACAAAAGTTTCACGTATTTTTAGTTTTTAGTAAAAGCGGAATCATCATTACAGTCATCCGATCCGCGAACAGTGGTTTTTTTGTATTTGTTTAATGTGGTAGCTACTCTCAAAGATTCTGGATTGTTCTCCTAAAAAATGATTGTTTGGAATGTCCACTGCTCTTTCTGGGCTTCTTTTAGTTCACCTGATGGTCACCCTCATAATCTCAAATTCACAAAGTGTATTGTCAGTCTTTAAGAAATTGATGTCTGTATCTGTTGGATTCTATCTCAAACCATATGAAATATTGTAATCAGTAACATACCCGCCATTAAGTTATTCATACCATTTCTTTTTATAGTCAACTACCCTTTGATACCATTGATATTGTTTAATTTTATAACAGTAGTATATGTTTGTTTGTTTGTTTTTTCATTATTAGGTACAAGAGAATCTAGAAAAATATCAATCTCTATATGATATTGTCTTGGTAAACGATAGTACTTTTGAAATTCCTTATAAAATTATTCAAAGTATCCTTTGTCATAATGAATAACAATGTGCCAAACTTACACACACCCACACACACATACAAACATATATATATATATATATATATACATATATATATATATATATATATATGCACATTATTAATATCCCTATTATGATTTTTAATAGAATTAATTTTACTTCAGATTACCGCATTATTTTGTAATTTAATTATTATCCTTATTATTAATTTGACTTTCATTCAAATTTACTTTTGTTAAAATAATGAATCTCTTTAATTATTGTTAAATTATGTATATCCCTATGTGTATCCGTGTTTAATTTCCCAACTTGAATCTTTTGCTTACATACATAGACAGGCTGTGGTACATGTATTCAACTATAATCTTCAAAATATCAATCAATATTTGATTAGAATTAAGAATTATCCATCACTGTTTTCTAAATTGTTGTTTTTTTGTATACTTGTCAACATCTTTTATTTGCTCATAGTTTACTCCATCCTCCTCCCCCTTCATTACCACCTATTATTTTGTACTCTTTTTTCTCATAGAAACAAAAAAAAATATTCTACATGACAATCTTAAAATAGATCTAAGTATATTTAAAATAAGAATGATAAAAAAAATATTCTAAAAAGTTAATTTTCTTCCGTTCTTGTTACTATCCCAATTTTTTAAAGAATGCCAGTATCCTATTTCACTCTTTCTCTTCTATTATTTATTTTATTAAGTTATGTTTTATTCTTTCATCTTCTTACTCTGCATATTAAACTGAGTATATTTAACCATACTGTTTGTACTTATTATGTGTGATGATTGAAACGACCAAATAGAATATTTATTTATTATAGAAGGGGTTTTGTGGAGATTTAGTATTTATCATTGTTGAAAGCGTGAGTCAATTGAAGCTAGACCACCATGAAAACACTGGACGGCCGTTTCGTCCTATTATGGGACTCCTCAGCAGTGCGCATCCACGAACCTGCTTTCGCGAGCGAGATTCGAACTCAGGACCTACCAGTCTCGAGCCGAAGCCCTTAACCGATAGACCACTGAGCTTTCAACAATGATAAATACTAAATCTCCTGAAAACCCCTTCTATAATTAATATAATCATATGCTCACTAGTGACTTCGAGAAGTATATCTAGGAGCTCTAGAGAAGCAGTACCAGTGGAGTTCAACCACGTCTGTTGTGAGATATCGACTCACTGAAGACAATTGGTGAACGGTTGCTCAGCTTCGTGGATCAGTTGAAGTTAGACATTAACACCGTTGGATGCCAGCTGAGTGGTCTATCGGTTAAGGGCTTCGGCTCGAGACTGGTAGGTCCTGGGTTCGAATCTCGCTCGCGAGAGCAGGTTCGTGGATGCGCACTGTTGAGGAGTCCCATATTAAGACAGAACGGCCGTCCAGTGTTTCCAGGTTTTCGATGGTGGTCTAGCTTCAATTGACTCACGCTTTCAACAATATATATATTTAATTACTATTGTCAAAATTTTCTTACAAGAAAGATAATACTAGCATATGAGCAAATGGAAATATAATGAATCCCATATATTATAATTACTTAGAGGTATTCGATTGGAAACTTAGGATCTAGGTTTTATGCAATTTGGCACTGTTTAATAAGGCAGACCAGTGATTTTGAGGAAACTGATATTCCCTGGCGGATTTGATTGCGTTTCGTCCAGCTTCACAATTATAGATGTTACCATTAGTCTATCCAAGCTGCAAATGATCTCTGGTAGGACTGTGATGATTCATCACTGAGTAGTGATCTATGAACTAATTCTTTCTTCTTGTACTATATCCTTATACACAATCTTTTTTCTATACATTACTACCATTGATGTCAGTACTTCTATGAATTCGGAGTTCATCTTGTTGCGCTGATGAAGTGTGGCAACTTGAACCGATGCATATGTGTGCCTGGTCCTACGTTCTAGCTGACTGACTGAGTAGTAATCGGTTTTATTCAGCTTGATCGATATAGTTCAATCAGCACTAAGAAGGGTTTGATGTACATGACATTAGTCACTGGTCAGTGGTAATGAATTCCTCATGTTAGCCATTATCAAAAAATTTAATAATCAAAATGTTTTGTGAAGCTTCATGATAAATGTTGAAAGTCTATGAGTATCTCTCGACAAAATCTCTAAAAGCCTGAAAATGCTTTACTCTGTCAACACTGAATTGAAGTTTAAAAGAAAAGTGGAAAGACGAAGGGTTACGTGTCACATCTTGACTGAATAATTACCAGTGTGTCTGCTATATTTATTGTGTTCCCAGAAGTTTCTAAAAACTCGCAAATACACTTGATTTTTTGAACATTGAGGAAAGCTTTCACTAATGCTTCGTTCACCCATAGTAGTTTGGGATTGTTGGAGGTCATTAATAACCGTTGATGCAGAAGACTCATCAATAAAGTGCGGGTTCCTTTTACTTATAAGTCAACTGGGTTGCAAGATTTTGCGTTATGGATTCATACTACTCAGTAAACCATTTATAATTAAAGGAGGATTGGATAGTTTATTCGTCTTGTTATGGGAGTCCTTTACAGTGTAAACTCATAACTCTACCAATAGTATAGTTTGGTGCTTTCAGGTCAGGTGGCGGATGTGTTAACTTTGTTTCACTAAGTTTACTATGTATTATTACAATCACTTCATCCCACCTGTGATGAATGTCTTAATTTCTATACGGTTGGACTCAACTAATGTTGAAGTGTTTTTCCCTGTTTAACTCGTTGGTTGAAGTGGTAATAAAACTACTTCGTTTTATTTTCACAATTACTATTGGACTCACCATTTCGCTGTTGTTCCGAATTGCATGTGATAATAATCACTCACAACCTTTAAAGTCTCATACCTGGAAGAAGTAATTGTTCTTTGCTAATTGTTTTCCTATAGAACCTAGACTGTTGTCAATACGTGACATCACCATCAAATCACACAAAACACTGAACCGATCTATTAGTAGCCGTATTAAGAGTGATCAAGTGAAATCATATGGAAATGAACAGAATGAAAATAGGTAGTTATCGAGACCCGGTTACAAATAGCGATTAGATTTCTCAAAATTTCTTTTCTAGACACCAAGATCAAGTTTGAAACCAAATATTCTTCATAATTTATTGGCACCCCGTAAGAAAGGGTATTTAAAAGTCTGTGGACTGTTACCTACTTAGATGATGCTTTATGTGTTAATGTTAATAATACGTTGACACTGATTAGTTGTATCGTGTCATAATTATTAAATTACCCAATTAAAAATTCAGCTCTGAAATGTGCAATAACTCCGAATTCTTCATTCGGAAGTTCATATTCACGTTAATTATTTTCGAAACTTATTCAATTTATATTTGGCTAACAGCAGCTTGGCGATTACTTTCGCCTGTTACTTCCAATAGAGCATAGGCCACCGACCAGTATTAGGGTAACATGGTGGTTGGAGGTGGTCAACAGGAAACCCTGGACCCGGGTTTCGTGCTACTTGGCACTCGTCAGCAAGGTGTACCTGTAATCTTGAGGGAACTGATGCTCCCTGGCGGATTCGATCCCGCGTCACTCAGCTTCACAGTCAGAGACGTTACCACTGAGCTATTCGGGCCGCGACCGACCTCCTGTAGGACTGAGATCTAATCACAATTGATTGATCACCACCCAGTGATCAATCAATTGTGACCGACCAGTATTCTCCAACCTACTCTGTCCTGGGCCTTCCTTTCTAGTTCTATCCAGTTTTTATTCATTTTTCTCATGTCTGTCTCCATTTTTCGGCGTAATGTGTTCTTTGGTCTTCCTCTTCTCCTTTGGCTCGCAAAAATTCGCTAACCAGAAAAAAGTATTCAAGCCTAAGCTTGTGGATTACTTCTATATAAATATGTTGGTTTAACTGTGAATTGTACCTTATCAGTCAATGAATTTTGTACTTACTTACTTACTTTCGCCTGTTACTCCCAATGGAGCATAGGCCGCCGACCAGCTTTCTCCAACCCACTCTGTCCTGGGCCTTCTTTTCTAGTTCTACCCAGTTCTTGTTCATTCTTCTCATGTCTGTCTCTATTTCTCGGCGTAATGTGTTCTTTGGTCTTCCTCTTCTCCTTCGACCTTCAGGATTCCATGTGAGGGCTTGTCTTGTGACACAATTGGGTGATTTCCTCAAAGTGTGCCCAATCCACTTCCAGCGCTTCTTCCTGATTTCTTCCTCCACTCGATGGAATCTGGTTTGTTGTCTCCCACAGTAACTTGTTGCTGATAGTGTCTGGCCATCGAATCCGAAGTATCTTGCGTAGACAGCTGTTAATAAACACTTGTATCTTCTGGATAATGGCTTTCGTAGTTCTCCACGTCTCTGCCCCATACAGAAGAACTGTCTTGACATTTGTATTGAAAATTCTAACCTTGGTGTTGGTTGACAATTGTTTTGAGCTCCAGATGTTCTTCAGTTGTAAATATGCTGCTCTTGCTTTGCCGATCCGCGCCCTCACATCTGCATCTGATCCACCGTGTTCATCAATGATGCTGCCCAGATATGTAAAGGTTTCCACATCCTCCAAAGCTTCTCCGTCAAGTGTAATTTGATTGGTGCATATTGTGTTGTATCGGAGAGTCTTGCTTTTCCCTTTGTTTATATTGAGACCTACTGCTGCTGAGGCTGCTGCTATACTGGTCGTTTTCTTCTGCATTTGTTGTTGCGTTTGTGATAGAAGAGCCAGATCATCCGCGAAGTCTAAATCGTCAAGCTGCATCCTGCCTGTCCACTGTATCCCGTGCATTCCTCCAGATGTTGACGTCTTCATAATCCAGTCGATCACCAGGAGAAAGAGAAAGGGTGAGAGTAGGCAACCTTGCCTAACACCGGTCTTTACCTCGAACGAGTCGGTGAGTTGTCCTCCGTGGACGATTTGGCAGTTTAGTCCATCATAGGAGTTCCGTATGATATTGACTATCTTCTCAGGCACGCCGTAGTGTCGAAGAAGCCTCCATAGTGTCGTCCTGTCCACGCTATCAAATGCCTTCTCGTAGTCGATGAAGTTGATGTAGAGTGATGAATTCCAT